GAGGATCGGGACAGCTCAAATTGCTTGGATTATCGACATAAATCAGCGCAATAGCCTGTAATTAAAAACTCTTATGCACTTTTTTCTCAATGCTCCTCCAGAATGTTGAAATCCACGCGCCACCAAAGCCACTAAGTATTGTGTTAAAATGATAGATTCGACAATTTGTATGCGCGATAATTTTGAATTCTCTTTCAACCAGAAATAAGTTATGGTAAAACATATTCGTTTCACGGTTAATTTTATTTCAAATGCAGTGCAACCATATTATCCATTTCGATTTTTTAAAGTTCATTTTTAGATTAGTAGCCAATTTATCATTGGCGTGAGTCTAATTAGTGAGATGAAAATTTATTTGGTTAAAGTGAAATGATTATCATAGCTGATTTCGGCTTTCTGATATTGTAATATTATTCGTATGTAATACTATCACTATAACTCGAATCCATCTTATTTACTGTAGAAAAGGAAAGAACGCAAGGTGTCAAAAATCAACACCTCAGCAGGAGGCACCGTTATCAATATAGTCAAAGTCATCGGCATAAACTTCATGCTGCAAATTATCAACGTGCCTTTGATATGTGTTCGTCGACTGAGAGGAGTCGTCCTCTGGCATGATGAAAAAATAATTCGATTATAAATGACCCCAGTACATTATCAATACCATTCGAGTATATACGACCCCAATACGGCATCAGCGTCGTGTGAGTCGATGTACAACGAGAGATTGATTTTCAATCATTAGAACAATCGTACACTATTCAATCTCTCGTTCAATCCTATTCGACTCTCGATCTCAGGTTAGAGCAACGCTTGTCTGAAGAACGCAGGCCTGATGGCTCTTTGGACCTCGGCCTGCTGTATTCCTCCAGCCCAAGACACTCATTTGCTCCATAAAAATTCAACACAAGTTACATTAGGAAATTAGAAGTACCAGAGAAAGACGTGTGGTTGGCATTGAGCTCCAATATTTTTAACTGAATTATATCTGAAAACTGAAATTATGTGACAATAGTTTCATGTGGAAATCAATCAATAATTTTGCTCATTTATCTCAAATCTTTGAAAAATTGTATCAATTTAATCGATGAAGGAGTTAGAAAATTCTAGTCTGACAACCTAATTGCACTGCATTTGAGAAAAAAACATTTAAACTCTCATGTTATTATTTTTTTCGTTAACGCATTAGATGAATACTCACAGTTGACGAACACATATTAAAGCGCGTTGATAATATAGCGACGAGAAGGTTATTCTTAATTGCAAGTTATGACAACATATCATGCCAGTGATTTTACTTCTATTAATGCCTCTGGCGTCTCTTCAGATCTCAAACTTTTGAAATTTCCTGTCTCTATTTTTTAACATGGATAAAAAGGCGGAAATGAGTTAAAGTTTTTATTTCATAAAGTTTTGCGATAATTTAGTTCTGAGTGAGAGTTTAAGCTATTATTTACATAAATTATATAATTAATATTATTATCGCCCTACCTATAGTGGCTTAATTTCGCAATAAACGAACGCATTTTGGTGGTGCTCTGAGAATATAGTGACCAGAAACTTTTTAATGCAGGATATTAGGCTGATTTATGCCGATGCTCGGAATTTATTTCATATTTATACATCATTTACTTATTTATACCCGTCAATATTTTTTCGACTGAATATTCATGAGTTTACTATTTTCTATGATATGAAATTAAAAAATCCCACCTGCCTAATTTGAGGAATATTAAAATTAATAAATCCGTGTACATTCATAAATTCTACACTATTTCCTGCTAGACACAGAATTTGCAAAAAAGTTATACATATATAAAATAATCTTGTCAAGTAGAGATAATTCGTAAAGTCTACAGTGTTCTTAACATAAATTTCAGTATCTCAAGCGCCAATAATCATATTCTTGGCTATTATTAAAAGTACAAATTTCCATTCCACATTTTTGGCAAAGCGAGTTTCTAATAACATCTTTAATTTTGTGGTAAAAATGTGTTTGCACGCTCATGGGCTCTAGAGTTTCCATTTCTAAGCATTAGTTACGGATGTCGATGAATAATTTTAGAAACATTCATCCACCTGACGAAATATTCAACCATTCGTAGCCACTACCCAGCTTTATAAAGATATTGGCTACTTGTACGGTAAAAATGAAAGAGTGGTGAAAGTTTCTGTCAGTCCTGCAATATTTTTGGAGAAAATCTCGTGTAACGGTCTTAAGTTCGTTTATAAAGTGTGGTAGACATAGAATTATTCAAAAATTCATAAGGTAATTCTTTCAACCGTTGAATTTGCCTTCAGTAGGACAGTTAAGTTAAATTAAACTTGCTTAAATTCTGACCATTTTGTTATTAAGAGAGAGCTTCATGCACTCAACCGACGCTTGCCCTTCATGCAGGCAGCTCTGAGAGTTAGACTAATTTACTAATTTCCTCCCGACCCGTCAAAAGTGAACCTAAATGCATCCTATACAAACAAATATACGTACTTGATGGTTAAGCAGTTACCTGTTGGAAAGCAAGATTAAGGATTGTTGTGAATAAGTCAAAATCATGAACCGAGTCGAGCTGATGTCAAAGCTGTGGAGATTTTAGGCACCTCAGCTCTAGGCGCAGTGTTATTGATTATTACTCTACATAAGCAATGTAAACTGAGAGCATCTATGTTTAACTATTGAACCAACAGTTGAAACCTTAGCCAATCACATGAAAGATACGGTAGTGACGTGCGCTCAGCCATTAGCTTTGCTAAAAATTAGGGATCCGTGCCCCGTGAACGAGCCCACTCACTTTAACAGTCGAAGATAATTTTTGTTTTAAACTTCACATCAAATAAGGATAGTTAATAACAGCAAAAGTGTATAATAGATTTATTAGCGGACAATAATTTCATTATACGTCATACAATGCAATAAATTCAAAATGGAATTACAATAACGGGCAAACAGGTCATCCGATGATTTCATAAAATACAAAAAAATCGAATCCATCTGCTTTGATAAATTAAACATGATTAAGAGGAACTGACGGTTGTTAAGACCAGAATAAACGCGTCTCTTTCTTGTCCAATTGAGTGTAATAAGCAGAATTTCAGAATTATTTATAACTGGTAGACATAAAGTTCGGATCACTTGATTGATTTTAAACCATCGTTTACCAATACCAATATTTTAATATTGAGACTGTATAGGTATTAGGTTCATGAATTGAATGCATTAAACGCAAAGTCATGAGGTAATTTAAACACCATTTTCCGTAGAAAAGGGATATAATGTGAAGAATAATTGCCTCCTTCCAGTAATTCTTGCGTAGCTTTGATGATAGTTTCACTCTCATGGCGTAAGTGAAAGTTAGTATATAGTCACCTGTAGCGCATGGTTCACAGTGCCGTCAAATGCAGCCGCGACTGCATCAGTCCGGACAAATTGCTTTGTTGGAAAATAAGAGCCATATAATAACTCCACATTCAAACATATAAATGTGCACAATTCACCCGCTTTCACGAAAAAAATTATGTTTTTTCAGAGTAGGATGAATAGTCAATTAGAGCACAGCCTTGCTAGATAGTATAATTGAAGCTTAGACATAAAAATATTTTAGTTAAGTTGTTTGCTGCCAATCTAAATTAGTTTCTGCATTCATGTGCAATATATTTTGAAAAATATATATTGCACAATTTGAGTAATTTGAATGTACGAAGACTCAAATGAAAATTTGAATCCGGTAAAACATTTTAATATTTTATGATGACATATCCTTCCAACCAGTAATTCAACTGAACCAAGGGGTCAGTAAATTTCTAATCTCTGTTACAGTAAAGTTCAGTAAAACCTTTGAGAAATTTTACAACCAAGACAGACTTAGTTACTGCGACTTCATACAATAAGAAGGATACAACATTACAACACGAATGAAAATATAACTCGCTCGTTGTTAATTATATTTTATCAATTAGAATTGAACACATAAACATTGTATTGACCGGAATGGGTCTACAGAACATCAGGCGAATGAATTATCTGACCAGACACATTGCATTCATTATAATAAAATAATTATAGAAATCTTGTGATTAGATTATTTCAGAGCATTTAGTTTCAACAAAATAATTTATTCGTACTAAAATAAAATAAAAAAATGAAATAAAATAGAACTTTTTTAATGTATTCCTTGGAAAAGGCAAATCGTATTAACATTGCTATAATCATTACACACCTTTAACCCCAGATCGTTTGGTCCACTGTAGTTCACGGCAAAAATAATTCCAACAATCAGCAATAGGTATGTTTGAAAAAAATTGAAATCTTTGTCTCGGCTATGACCATAGATTGACAAATTTTAAGAAAGGGAAACCCCTACACGCAACGGTTAATTTAATTAACGCAATAAATGTTTAACGCATTAAATAATAAATGTCAAAGCAAACAAATAGTAAATAATTATTGTGCTACATTCGTTATTCAAGTAACGTGCTCAAATGTTGCACAGTTATTATGAGTTAAAAAATAATTCTAATACTCAATATTAAGAAAGATTGGAAATGAAATTGAAACGTTGGTTTAGTCAAAGAATCAAGGACCAACGGAAATTTTTAACAGTGAAGTAGAGGCTATGCCCCCAACAGCTTTTTGAATTAACACATCAAGCATTAAAACTTGAGCCAGCTACCTATAAAAACGTTATTATTTTATGTTCAATATGCGTGATTTTTTGTTCTCATTAATTGAAATAAAGGTCGACACATGAACTTTCATGAAAGATTCCAAGTCTTTCGTTCTCCAATGTTTTTCACCGGTAAAATCAGCGATGCCAAATACTTTCTCCAGTCAAGACTGTTGACGCCCAAAAACTGCTAACAGTGACTGTAAACATCGTGTAAAATCCGAGTGCAGACAACAGACAAAGTAGAAAGATAATGAGCACTATGCCGGCTACCACTGGATGTAGACTTAGGGCAAACGACATGCAAACGCTGAGTGCAAAAAACGTGCAAAACGACCATTAAATCATTTGTGTTCCATCATAGANCAGTTGCTTGGTGTTGATGATGAGCGGAACCCCGCCTTCTGCACCGCACATCTTCTTCAGGTTGTCGGGAGATCCGTTGCTCGTTGTGCCTTTAGTGATAATTGCTTCTCGAATAACTGCAAACAAGGATCAATCAGTATGCGAAAAAGAAGCATGACGTCTCTAGTACACAATACTAACATTCATCCAACAAGACTTGCACAATCAGTAATAGCACCAGTACTAAAACTTCACAAAACAAATAATTTTTCTTCGACGGAAGATCTCACCGAACTTGAAGAGGCTGATGACGCCAGGAGCAAATGTTGTCGTGACGTTGCAAGGAGCGTCGTACGTCATGCTGCACACCGACGTCGCAATGTCATACGACGCAGCGCTGCACTTGGGCAGCACGAAGCACTTCGCCTTGCACTCACCTGGGGTAGCCTCAAGTTAATTGTAATAATTGGAAGCAGTCCAGGAAAATGTGAGGATTCTTTATTAGGTGTTCAAGATTATTGTTTTGTACTTGGGGGCGGTGAACACTACTAGGAAGGCTAGTTTCTAATCAATGTTACACCGTTCAAAAGATGAGACATAATTCAACATAAATATTTTATTCCTAAATCTGTGATTTTTCTATATATGAAATACAAATATGGATACAGTCATGGAAAAAATTAGTTGATAAATCTTGAAACGAAAGGATTGCCAACTTTTAATTATTGTAATGCCAATTTTATTCCTATGCTGATAGGTACAATTTGTCCCTCTTAATCCAAGGTCAATTGAAGTTTTTAATTTTAATTTATGCCGCAGCATATTTTATAGATTATCATGAAATTTGAACTCATTGAATTCGAAACTGGAAATAATCTAAATTCAAAGGTTAATACTAAGTTTTCTTATGAAAGTTAAGGGACAATGAACGAATAATTTTGCTTGTCCTTAAAAACTGTCCTCGGCAATACAGGAATTTTGCAAAAACTTGTTCATTATCAATATTTATTTTTTGTCATATCGATGGCAGTGCATAATAATTCATTATCATAGAAAATAATCAATAATCACGGTTGGAAGTTCAATTTTCCGTATCGTCAAAGGCTGATTATTTCAACCCCGCGAACGATCACACTCGAATACACTAACACTCTATGGAACTCGATACCGCGAATCTGGTTTAAATCATAAATATTATTTATTCTGCCTAAGGCAGCAATAATTGAATAAAAGCTTACGATCCTTCTCAATCCTTCTCTACCTTGAATTTAAGTTCTATTTTCGGAAAATTTCCGATCCGGGCTTCTGGAAAGACTACGGCGAAGAAGCAGAACGTGATCAGTCCATATATAAGGCTGAGCCGCTGCTCTCGAAATAGCTTAATTGAGTAAACTCTACCAGCGCGGTCGTGTGTAGTTCCTCTACTTACTTAATATGTTATCTTAGTTTCCTTAATTCATTAAATAAAAGGTGTTCATTTGTTGTGCGCAACTCTTGCTTAGTTAAATATTTCAATTTTGGGGTGCATGCGTGTTTCACTTCGTTTTTGAACACTTTGGTCAGCTCGTCAAATTGCCTATTTGACTTAAAACTTTAAAACTTTTAAAAACTTTAACTATTAACTACTTAACCTTAAACATATAAATTATTAACTTGACTGGCCAAGGTGGTCATTCCCTATATACTATGGTAATCTCTATTTAAATTCGGAACTGCGAATTTAAAAATAAAAATAAATAATCTCGTTAAAATAATCATTAAATAATCATTACTATAATTAATTTTTACATGTAAAAACACTACGCAATATGTGCACTTAATCTTAATTGATTAAGGCGAGCCTTATTCTTTAATTAACGTTAATACTGAACTACTGAGATATCTGAATTATTACTTGCTTATTGACTCTGTTGTGATGATGAGTTTTTTTACCAGTATCTCCAGTAATCTTCAACATCAGCCAAAATTAAGTTAAACCTGGACGCAGCTTTCTAAATGGATTTAAACTGCCTTAAATATGAAGAACTGCCCAGAAAATACGAAGCTTTGAATAAATTCTTATTAAAATGTCTGAACTGATAATAACATATTACTGTCCTGCTTAGCGCTTACCTTTTGATCATTCCTAGAAGAGGATTACCTCCAGCATAGGGAATATTTGCCGACATCTTATTATATTACGATTTAATTTCTGACATATATTCATTATCAATAAAAAAAATTATTTACCTGCTAAAATGCGGAATATAAAAGTTTTTCGCCAGCATGTATGAATGCTAGTCATCGTTTATCTCAAATAATGTCATTTTGCGGACTTCAGTACTCAAATTAATTTGCCACTCTATGTTTAAAGTCAGGTAAATAAGTTTTACATACGTAGATTTTACAATTTTGATTAATGTCTCTATTAATATTGACTCACACGCCGCTGATGCCGTCATGTTTAGGTCTGGACGAAGTACGGTCACGTTCATCATGATCGTCTGAAACACCACGGCGTCTGCGGCCGTTCCAAGCAGCGTAACTATCGTTAACAGCAACAGCGGCCCCGCTCGCTGATGGCCATTGTGAGAAGCCATCCTGAGTACTGAAGTGGTCTGGGGAGGACGACGCGCTCTTTTATAAGCTTTAAGATGTGTTCAGTTGGGAGTATTAAAAATTTCATGCCGTCTCAAGACCTCTATTTATTGTTAATAATTACGTGGCATTATTGCAAGCTACGATGCTTAATTAAACGGAACGTTTGATGAATCGTTCATAACTTTCTGGATGGAAGCACGAGAAGCTCCAAAATATCGGCGTCGTGGATAATCGCATTATTTGCTTCATCTTACCATTAGATGACTCTTCACAGTTGCCGAACAAGTTTTAATGGCGCATTAAGAATATAACGGTCAGAAGTTTCTAAATAAAAGGGATTTCACCAGTCTAAGCCAATGATTTTAACGTATCCGACAAATTTGCAGCCTTACTCGCGGCTAATGTCCAAATTCAATGACCAAGAAATATCTCCCAAACTAATGAACGCGGCTCGATGAAACTTGGTACCCGTATTCATTAGGACCTAACGGTGATTTTTAGCTCGTGAAAATTGTTTCCATTTCACTTCATTCGTGGGTTATACGGCAATTCGGGCCGAAATTTGCAGTGACCAAGAGATTTCTTCTAAACTACTGAACAGATTTGAATGAAACTTTGAATATACAAACCTAACCTCCTAACGGTGATGTTTAGCTCGTGAGAATATTTTCGATTTTGCCTTCGTTCGCGAGTTAAACGGGCATACGGAGAAACTACCGGTATTCATGAGTTCGATTTTTACATTTGCATTGACAAAGAGTCGTATACCTACTAGCGGCAGAGTTATATTTAAACATTCGTTGGTTCTGATGTTTCTGTTTCGTAGCATTAGTTTCGTTTCATGAACGCATTTTTAAATAAACAATCATGCTTTTGACTATATATCCAACTATTCTCACCCACAACTCGTTTCGAATTTATTAAGCATTAACGCAATAAATATTAAGATGTAACGATAATTCATATATACTCATGTGATATCACTGGATAACGTGTTTGCAATTATGTTTCGTTTATTTATGCTGTACTGCTTATATTGATGCAAATTATAATAGTGTAGTTTATAAAATAATTGGACCAAGCGGTGGGCTCGACTCCAGGTTATGAGACTGGCAATCGCAAGGAAGATGTCGCGTAAAGTTGAATGTCTCATTATTGCTGACTTGGTTTGTGTACCTAAGTCAAAGTATTTATTCATTATACAATGACAATATATCCAAATAAATTTCCTGAGAGTATGTTTAGTTTCTCATGAAACAAACTCTGATCAATATCTGGAGGTAATATAATTCAATTTTTGTCGTATTGTCAAACTCCCTTTTCGCCTATTTTGGTGAATACATTCATTTCACAATTGTGTATTTATTTCACATGTGCATGTACATTTCAAATTGCTAGCGGATGCAAACCTCGGTCAAGACCAAATATTCCACAAGTTAAGTTATGTGGTGCTGAACTGTCGCGACTTTCAATAATTCAATTAATTAATTTTGGTTTGGACAGAAAAGAATATGAGAGATTTGACGAGACATTCAATAAGTCGACCAGACCCCAAACGAAGGCATGCAGTCAATCTAAATCCTGACGTGTTAGCAAAGATCGATCTCAAAGACTCAATTCCACTAATAATGTGCTGGGTGAAACGCTGTCATAATAAAAAACGTTTAAAACATTACTTTTTAAAGACAACACTTCTAAAGAATCCAGTGTCTCCAATCTTACAGATGTACAATGAATTTCTCATTTTATTTTCGAATAATAAAAATATTAATTTTGTCATTTTTTTAAATATATAAATTTTTTTTAATATATAAAAATTTACATCAAAATTATTTATTCTGTCAATTGATTCATGCATTGCCTCCGACTTCACACAAGTGTGTCAAATTTCAGATCAATTTGAGAGGTAAAAGTGTGTCAAATATCATTTATAAGATTTGTAGCTAACAAAATTATTTTTTCAATTTTTTTAATATTAAAACAATTTTTCTAATTTAAAATCATTTATTTTAACATTTGATTCATGCATTGTCTCCAACTTTACACTAGTGCGCAAAATTTCAAATCGACTGGATAAGTAGATTGTGTTAAATTTTGATAATAAGATTTGTAGCAGACAGACAGACAAGAAGTGAAGTTAAAGAGAAGTGTTGTAAAAAATAACTACTCGTACGATGGAAATAATAATAAAATCGATCAATAATTTAATATGTTTGGTGTAATGATTACGTAGCAAATGTCTTACTCCTGGAGCAATGCTCCATGTTCGCACTCCGAGATTCCACATTAAAATCGCTAATTGAGCGCGGCGAAGATAATAACGTGCGCGTTCCGATTACCTAACTCATAGTAAATGATTATGGAGTAAACGGCTTACTCGCTACGGTTCTACCACGACCCTGATTAAGCAAAGTGCTTTAGTTGAAGCTGACATTAGTTCTCCTACTAATATCTCTGAGGTCAGCGCTACAGGTGATGCTTCTGCAGTATAAGTAAAAACCGAGCTGCTAGGGACATTAGCAAANTCACCGAACTTGAAGAGGCTGATGACGCCAGGAGCAAATGTTGTCGTGACGTTGCAAGGAGCGTCGTACGTCATGCTGCACACCGACGTCGTAATGTCATACGATGCAGCGCTGCACTTGGGCAGCACGAAGCACTTCGCCTTGCACTCACCTGGGGTAGCCTCAAGTTAATTGTAATAATTGGAAGCAGTCCAGGAAAATGTGAGGATTCTTCATTAGATATTCAAGGTTTTTGTGTCGTACCAAATAGGGGCGGTGAACACTTTTAGGAAGGCGAGTTCCTAATCAAAATGTTATACCGTTCGAAAAACAAGGTATAATTCAATATAAATACTTTAATTTTAAGACTGTAATTGTTCTATACATGAAATACAAATGCGGATTAAGTCATCGATAAAAATTAGTCGATAAATCATGAAACGAAAGGATGGCCAACTTTTCATCATTGTTTTACCAATCTTTATTTCTTTGCTGATAAATACAATTGTTTTTTCTTAATACATTGTTGAATAAAGTTTTTAATTTTAATTCGATACCCCAATATATTTTAGAGAGTATCATGAAATTCAAACTCATTGAATTAGCAACAGAAAATAATTGAAATTCTAAGGCTTATAATAAGTCCTCTTACAAAATAAAGGGACAGTGAACGATAAATACAGAAATTAAATAAAAGCTAATTGGATGCGTCTTGCAGAGCGCTTGAAGCATAAGCTTTTTAAGATTTTTAGGAATGCGTCATCTATCATGAACTCTGTTTTCATAATCTAATCCTTCTTTCCCTTGAAATTAAATCCTTATGATATTACGATATAATTTCTGACAAATATTCATTACAATAAAAAATTATTTACCTACTGAAATGCGGAATACCGAACTTTTCCTAACATGTTTAAATGCTATAGTCAGCGTTTATCACAAACAATATCATTATGGCGGACTTCAGTGCACAAGTTAATTTGTCACTCATTAACTACTATTCAGGTGAATAAATTTTATATTCGTATACTTCCTAATATTCCCAAAATTAATGTCTTGTATTATATTGACTCACACGCCGCTGATGCCGTCATGTTTAGGTCTGTACGAAGTACGGTCACGTTCATCATGATCGTCTGAAACACCACGGCGTCTGCGGCCGTTCCAAGCAGCGTAACTATCGTTAACAGCAACAGCGGCCCCGCTCGCTGATGGCCATTGTGAGAAGCCATCCAGAGTACTGAAGTGGTCTGGGGAGGACGACGCGGTCTTTTATAAGCTATCGAATGTGTCCACTTAAAAGTTTTCAGAATTTTAAGTTGTTCTACAACCTCTATTTATGAATGGTAATTTTAGGGCATTTTCGTAAACTATGATGCTTAATTAAACGCAAAATTTATAAATCATTCATTACTTTCTGGAGGAAAGCATAAGAAGCTTCAAATTCTTTGCGCCAAGAGTATTCGAATTTTTTCTTTCTTCATGCTATTAGATGACTCCTCGCAGCTGGCGAACACATATTAATTGGTGCGTTGGGAATTTTCTAATTACAAGGGAAAACAACCATATTTTCCGATGATTTTAATTCGTTTCATGACATTGTCGTCTGCTCGGATCTTTAATTTTGGCTGTTTGCGTTTTTTCATTCTCTTCAGTACGTAATGGAGATGAGTTCTAATATTTTTATCTTCCTTATTTAAAAAAAATAAAATCAACTGCGAAAATACTCTCATCTAGTAAATTGATTACTTATTTTACTTATTCTTCGTAAGTTTTTGATAAATCTGTTACCAATCTAGTCGATGAATGAGTGAGAAAATTCTAGTTGGCCAACGAATTGCCCAGCAATTGAAATAAAAATATAACTCAGTACTCACTGCAGTGAGTGACAAAGAGCGCATTTTCTCGTCGACGAAAACTTGAGGTCACGGACAAACGAACGGACAGACGGACAGACAGACAGACGGACGGACGGACATGGCGAGCACATTAGTGCATTTTTTCATAAATGAGAAAATGAGCTAAAAATGGCTATTTTGAGACGACCATCTTATAATTTTCTTCGCTGTGGCATTGCATGACTACTCGGAGTAAACGAACACATGTTAATTGATGCGTTGAGAATATAGGAGTTAGAAGTTTCTAATTGCAAGTTATAACGATAATTTAGGCAAGGATTTGACTTCCATTTATGTTTATGCCGTCTTCTGAGATCTTGAAATTGGGCCATTTTATATTTTCTTTTTATGATGGATAAAACGACGGAAATAAATTTCAGTTTATTGATCGTCAGGTTTTGCGATAATTTAGCTCTTGATGAAAGAGAGATCTATGAATTGCTGGTATAAATTATGGAATTAATATTATTATAGCAATGCCTCGCGGCTTTTCGCAATCAACGAACGCATTTTGGTGGCGCGCTGTGAATATAATGACTAAAGTATTTTAATGCAGGATATTACGCTGGTTTATACTGATGATTTAAATCTTATTTGCTGCCCCTACCTTCATTTTTGACATAACTCAATTCTTTTTCGACGGCACGTGAGAGTTAAGATTTTCTATGATATGAAATCAGAAAGTCCGTCCTGGTTAACCGATGGAATTTCGAAATTCTGTTAGTTGTAAATCTGTATTAAATTCTGTGCATTAATAAATTCGACATTTAGTCTCGCATGACGCTGAATTCTTAAACAAATTACACGTAATCAAATAATCTTGTCACATAATGATTATTGTCGTGAAAGTGTAGGGAATTCCAAACATAGATTTCAGTATCTCGGGTGCTAATCATATTACATTCTTGACTAATATTCAAAGTGAAATTTCCCATTCAATATTTTGTGCGAGGCGAATTTCTAATAAAATCTTTACTGTTGTGGCAGAACTTTATTCACATGCCCATGCGCATGGAGCTTCCGTTTCGAAGCATTAATTACGCATGTTGATTAATTATTTAATAAACATACAAATACCTGACGAAATATTTGGCCAGTCGAAGTCACCGCAAAACTTTGAAAACATTAGCCACAAATATGGTGGATATGGAAGATCATGGTGGAGGATTAGCTCAGTATCCTCATAGCTCAGTATCCTCATAGCTCAGTATCCTCATAGCTCAGTATCCTCATAGCTCGGTATCCTCCCCGTCTTCGGTAGCTGTGGCGGGGACCCCTGCCGCTGACAGGTGAACAGTGGGCCAGTGCTCCCGCCGCAGTCCCAGGCAAAGTCTCAAGACATCACAGCACCTAAATATACCGTATATACGACATAATTAAACAGGAGTAATGGAACAGGAGCAAATAATGATCTTATATTAATGATATTCTGATCACAAAATCCTCAGTGGCATGGCAAAGGCAACCAATGGTCATTCATGTCCACTGCAGCTTATTTCTGGCAATTGACCGGGGAATGTCCACGGCTAGCGGTTCATGACTTCACGTCTCACGCCACAGGCAGGAGAATGACGGGGGAATGAGTCTTGTGGTGATGAAGCATCAATCTGACGTCCAAAGTAACGTCAAGCAGGGCCACACTGGACGAGAACGTCACCACACGAGATGGTCAAGCCAAGGTGCGACGTCTAGCACAAGTGATGGGATGCTAAGGACTGGCGAATCTTCACGACAAGAGGCCGAAGATAGGTTCTGCTGTATTCAGCTGTGCCCTGGAATATTTAATTTCTTCATGCGAAATTGTGGTTGGAAAATAAATGTGGCAGGGAGTGACATAACGACATAGATGCAGTGCACATGAGTTATAAAGGATCTTTAAGACTTTAAAGTTCAGGTTTTTACTAAATTGGGTCAGTGGGAAATATTCTGCATAAAGTTATGCAAATAATCCATAAATAAACCGTCCGTAAAGTTAAATCCTTAACATTCCTTAAAATTCCATTCCTTATTGATTTCCTTGAAAGAAATCAGAAGAGATTAAATACCGTATCACAGACCAATCTTGATTCACTCACTGTCAGTTTAAGCTTGGCGATAGCATGCTGATGGAACGTCTTTACTTGACTCTCTTTGGAATGTTTCTGTGCCCAGAATGTAATTGAAGACGCTGGAGTGTATGCGTGGTAACACTGTTGAGAATTATATTTATGTTACGGTGCGAGTAGCAGCCGTTTGTAATTTAGTCAAATTCTTTCTGACAATAACTAACGCGCCCTCGCTGGCTTCAAGAACCCACCCATTGACCTCCACCACCCTTCTGGCCCGTAATGTCACGACTGTCATAAATCAGTCAATCGCTTTAGTTGAAATACTGAACTTTATGCTAGGTGCTTCAACATTCTAGTACTAGTCAGCAGTTGGACCATGACAATATGAAATTATAAATTTGAAAAATTTGCTAAAAATAAATCAAATAATTATTCATAAATTAACAAGATGTGTTGTTAACAAATATTCACCGCTCTAAAGGCACGAACATGTAAGCTCATGCCGCCCGATGAACGCTGTATAGCTGGGGGAGCTGCTGTCCCGCCACGTCACCCACCACACCGGCGACATCAGCCTGCTGCCCCTGGACTTCTTCTGGAGGCCGGCAGGACAGGCGGCTGGAGGCTTGGAATATTTCTACTATTTTTGGTGAGGTGCGTTTCCTCGCAAATCATCGCTATGGCGCCATAAATAAATAGATTAAGCTTTTTCAGAGCTTCAGTTCAGACTTGTTCCTGACAGGTGCAAACAAATTATCTCTGGAAAAATGTAGTATATCTTCATTTGCTAAAGTCATTCTGTAGAATTAAGATCATAAAAACGTATCAATTAACTTATTGATTAAATTATTATATTAACGTAATGAAGATTTCATTATCAATAGAAAAAGTTCATATTAATTTACTGCAGTTAAATCACAAATATAAATAGCCTACAAAATATGATAGGCTGTTATCATGGAATATGGTCATGAACTTGAAAAATTATACCCTACAGAAAGCACCGAAATGAATCAAAAACATCAACTAGCGAAATTTTTACATATATTCCCTTAAATGTCTCCAAATTAAGACTTCATTTATTACAAGATTATCACATAGCATGCCAATGTTTCTTACATAAGATTCATTTAACTCCGCCATGTGATGCCAGGAGGAAGTTGACTGCCGTGTCCAGCTATCCCATTATTTGTTCATCGAGAATTCTCTCCCAATCCACATTTTTGTTATTAAAGATCGCTATTACAACGTTCGTTTCGACTGTGAAGCCGATTTAAATCGTTGTCGTAAATTGACACACGTGTCATTGGTGAGTAATCCATTATTTTATGATGTAGGGCAACGTGGGGCAGCGCGCCCCCCACTTTTTTTAAACTAAATTTTTGATGAATTTTTAATTGATACGATGTGGTTCTTTGTTTTGTTTAAAGGTACAACTAATGAGGAATGTATGATGTGAATTAGACGCCTATAGAGTTATTAATTTTTTAATGAAACACTATTTTGTAAAAAGTGTCAAAATGGGCCCATTGCCCCACCCCTGGGGCAATGGGCCCATGGGCTTGGGGCAAGGCGCCCACCCTTGGTCCCTTTACCACAATTGCATATTTTTCGTTTAAAAATGATAAAACAACACTTTACAGTTAAAAATAAGAAAAATGTATGCTAATAGTCTAAACTTGGTCTCAAAATTATCCCTATAAATATTACTTTGGAAAAATAATTCAAAGTAATTTCAAAATCTTCATCTATAGTAATGGAAAAAAACTTTATTTAGTCGCAAAAAAATTTTTATCTGGACTAAAACAGTTATTCTCAAAGAACTTAATAACGCAAACACTTAGCAAAACGTAAATCCGTACACTTCATCCCAGTGAAACTGTCGACCGGCGGTAGAGAACACGGACCAATATCTGCCATACCTAGCGAGAAACCCGCTATGGGCCCGTGACCCGCAGTGGGCTCGCTGCCCCATGTTACCCTATATTGTTGCCTTATAATTTAAACTGTATGAAAGGCTGCATTTTTGAAGCCGCATGTTGTTTTAACCAGTTCATTGGCTATATTATCCATGTATGAACACCATCAGGTTTTTGATAAACGAAAGCATTCGAGAAGAAAGAAATTTCATACGTAATCCAGTTCTTACTTTCGATCTCCAACATTGATGTAGATTGGAAATATATTTGGTTGATTCTAAGATTCAAGACAAAAAGATTTTTACTTCCGGCCAGAAAATTTCCCCATAAAAATTGTTGTTGAAAGAGCGGTTTATAAATAGAATTTTGTTAGCAAACTAAATTAAGGTGTTTAATTGGATTAATTCTATATAGGTAAATCTTATATATCATATTATGATTATGTAAACGATTACATAAACAAAATATATGTTTAGTCGGGATTTTTCCATCCAGTAAAAACATTCGACGTTAGCTTTTCTTTATTTATAAGAGAAATGTAAACGTAAACTGAACTCGAGCGAAAATAGCAGGCTTTCTAGCAAGGGACGTTCATACAAATATGATCGAAGAATAATTGCGTAAAATTTAAATTTTGATGCAATTTTTCCAACAGAAAGTGTGTGCTGCGTCAGAAGCTTTCCGAGAGAAATCAGCAATACCTTGAAGGCCTGCGGTTGTGTGGTCACCCGCTGGCACTTCTCTGATCTCTGAGACGAGGACTTGGAGAGGAAGTCATCCATCCTGACAGAGTATTCTAACTACCTTCCAGTGTATGTGTTGCACAGTACGATTATCACATATCATGCCAACCTTACAGATGTGCAAGCGATTCTGTCATTATAATCATTAAATCACAATTCGAAAACAGAATTGTTCTAGACATAGCTTGAAAGTTACCACCCGTCAATCGTACGCTCCTGCGCGACGGTATAGTCATAAACAGTTGTCATAAAACTAAATAATGAAAGCGAACTAGAATGCGATATCGAATTTTTTATTCCAATGCATAGATAAATTCACGTTTAAAGTAATTAATTTCACGTTTAAAGTAATTAATTTTAATGCTTTTAATGCGCTCTCAAAATCAAGACTCTGTACAAATAAAATGCATGAAAACACAATGCGAAATTAATGTAGAGTTGTCCATAATTCAGTTTTGCCAACTCTTTCAATGAATTTCAAGCTAAAACCTAGCATTTTCAAGCAAAAATACACTGAAAATTCAAAATTTGTAGCTAAAAAGATAATTTTAACTACATTTTACATGCATTTTTTCAAGTAAAGCTCTTATTTTCCCGCTGAATACGTTGAAAATACGCAAGATTTAGCGGGAAAATAGCTAAATTGTCAACACATGTCAGCATCACCCAGATGAAAAGAATTCATGCTAGCAATAATCTCTATAATTACGACATTTTTTGGCGACGCTAAATCAAGGCAAAATTAGGAAAATATTCCTAATGTGAAATTTCATTTTTGTCATGTATCCTCCGCCTTCTTTGTATCCATGAAATCTGGGTTTCCCTATCTTGCATTGACCAACTTAAGCTCTACGTACAGTATCAGATTCTCCCTCCTGCCACTTTTTGGCGGCTTTACAACGTAATACCTTTATTTATTAAACTGACCATATACGCTATAAAGTTGAAAATTGTTTAATTCTATTTGACAACTTATATGTATAGTAAGTGACTGGTCTATTACTCTCAATTACTCTTTTAATATTAGTTACTCTCATGCTACTATATTTTTACTACTATTTAGTTGTACGTAATATTATGCAAAATAAAATTGCGACTGTATTTGATTTTAACTTAACAGAAATATTGTGTTGTTATTCGTTTATATCATTCCAGGGAGAAGCTAGCTGGTCCCCCCGAGGGATGATCTCACAGACGCAGGAGCTCACCAGCTGTGTCAGAAGGTGCACGTTTATAAGCTTTACCATGAACCTAAAAGTGCTTGTACACGGGGACAGTACTGGCGGCAAGTAGATCAGAAAAATGCCAAATGTCTGCCGCTTGGTGTCTATCCCGCAAGTAAGCTTTAGACACGAGGCAAGTTGAAGGTGGCGCCGTGCCGGTAACGACTAGATACCGGCACTAGATAGCTAATTGCCTTGTGTCTAAAGCTTACTTGCGGGATAGACACCAAGCGGCAGACATTTGGCATTTTTCTGATCTACTTGCCGCCAGTACTTTCCCCGTGTACAAGCACCTTTACGCTGCTCACCTAACCTCAGCTCGCCACCCCAGTAGGCAATGCATCGAGTTGACAACCACCAACATTCTTCACTGGGCAAAAGCAAAGTTAAAATTACCCTGGAATATCAAATTAACCGCAGCTGTAAACATAATTTTATCAGTCAATGAAATAGTTAACATTTTTTACATTCATGGCATAAGTTTTAAGCACTGAATTCATATAAAAAAATTCCTGACATTCGCTTTGGTTCAAGTTTTATTACGAAAGCACAAGTTTTTTCAATGATGGTACATAGTCGACCATGATTCTAATAAATGGAAGATAATGACCATAAGATACGATGGGTCTATTCAAACTTTTATTTTCTTTTGCTAGCTCGAGAAGCACTTACCTTTGACCCGGGCGTCCGATAGACATTATTGCGCTTTAAGACCAGGCGGCGTTTGAGCGTGGCCTGGGACTGCAACGTCCACAACAGCCACAAAGGAAACGTATTTTTTGTGAATAATTCGAAAATGTAGCTACGTGTTTGCCAATGCATTTACTACTACCACTTTTCAAGCTTTCAATCAAAATCTTTATCAAGACACATATGCACTTTCGATTTTCTTTCATAGTGATTCTTAGTTATTACTTTAGCCATCGCAGAAAAACTATGTTCCACACTGTATTTTTCTTCGGTCATTCATGTTTAATAGTTGAGGAGTTACTATAACATAAAAATCGAGATGGTCATTGATTGCTTTCATCTGTCAGTGGAAAACTACAGAAATAACATCGCTAATAATTATCGTATTGGAATAGGCTAAGATTCTTTTTCTTTCCAAAACATCTCATCCATAAGAATTAACTATTTTATACCATGTTACACGCATTGCAAATAGAAACTATTTATAATGTGTTTGTTTTGTTTTGTGAGAAGCTGTTGCGGTCATTTATTGATATGTAACTGTACTCGATCACGGAGAAGAATTCAATTTTATTTCGTACTGTTGAAGATAAGAGCAGATTTTGCACTGGGCCTGTTCATAGTTGAGCATTTGCCGATGTACCACGAATAAATTTTAAATTGTGTTAATCTCATTAGATCGGTTTCTCGACAGGCGAGAAGGTGCCGATCTAATAAGGTGTCTGGCGAGAAGGTGCCGTTGGATAAGAGGCTCCGTTGGAAAAGAAGGCACTGTCGGACAAGAGGTCTCCGTTGGACAAGAGGTCTCCGTTTGATAAGAGGGCTCCGTTGGATAAGAGGGCTCTGTCGGACAAGAGGTCTCCGTTGGATAAGAGGGCTCTGTCGGACAAGAGGTCTCCGTTGGATAAGAGGGCTCTGTCGGACAAGAGGTCTCCGTTGGATAAGAGGGCTCCGTTGGATAAGAGGGCACTGTCGGACAAGAGGTCTCCGTTGGATAAGAGGTCTCCGTTGGATAAGAGGGGGCTCCGTTGGATAAGAGGGCACTGTCGGACGAGAGGTCTCCGCTGGATAAGAGGTCTCCGTTGGATAAGAGGGGGCTCCGTTGGATAAGAGGGCACTGTCGGACAAGAGGTCTCCGTTGGATAAGAGGTCTCCGTTGGATAAGAGGGGGCTCCGTTGGATAAGAGGGCACTGTCGGACGAGAGGTCTCCGCTGGTTAAGAGGTCTCCGTTGGATAAGAGGTGCTCCGTTGGATAAGAGGGCACTGTCGGACGAGAGGTCTCCGTTGGATAAGAGGTCTCCGTTGGATAAGAGGGCACTGTCGGACAAGAGGTCTCCATCGGACAAGATAGCACCGTCGGGCATGAGGGTGTAGTCAGGCGAAAGTGCCCAATAAAAACTGCCATGCTGATGCATCAAGTATTTCACTTGAACCACCGTCAGTATTTTAGCAGCACCGTTGTCAGGATCACCAATTTTACCGTTTAAAAAAATTCCATGATATTTTTAGTAGTCCAAACAAATTACAGCATTATTTATTATGTTTGGATAATTCCATGCTGAACATGTGTAGAAACGATGCAAAATTATAGTGATTACAGGAGTATTATTTGGATAAACCAATATTTTTAGGTATCTTGATGCCTCAATAGTTCCGGAGTAGTGCTAACATTTATTAATTATTATTTATGACATAATATCAACCTCGTGTAAATCGTTACCAACCTTAATCGTTAACCAGTTAACCATCAGAATAGATTAGTTGTTTAATTTAATCGTTCAAAATAACAAATCGGAAAGTTAATTCTGGACTTAAGTTAAATTTCTGACATTTGATATCACCAGTTTAATAAATCATCCAGCAACACTTGTATCAGCTCATTTCAAATCAATATTCTTTTCGGTATCAAGTTTAAATTTGAAATATTCGTAATAATGTTTTTAATATAGGCCATGCACGGATAGTAGAATAGAAGTGTCGGCACTGAAGAAATAGGCTCATGGCCTGTTGCCCAACTTGTCTCATGCACCGTGAAACATGGAAAAATCGCGCGGTGGGATATAATAGGGCGAGCATGAGTATAGCTCGGCAGTTTTAAGAGGCCCGTTCAAGGCGCTCAGCCGCGGTAATCGTCTATGGGTATTCTTAACTATGAATTCGACAGATAACTCCCCTCATAAATAAGATAAAAATCTGAAATTTGGAATGCTATCCTGGCTAATTTTTTTCAATCTGTGGATATTAAGATAAATTATATAAACTTTGTATTACTCCGTCGGACGAGAGGGCTCCGTCGGACGAGAGGGAGCCGTCGGACAAGAGGGCTGCGTCGGACGAGAGGGAGCCGTCGGACAAGAGGGCTCCGTCGGACGAGAGGGCTCCGTCGGACGAGAGGGAGCCGTCGGACAAGAGGGCTGCGTCGGACGAGAGGATGTCGTCAGGCATGAGGGCTGCGTCCCTATCAAAATTTTTAGCTGGTGGCGAGCCTGAATTAGGAACCGCCTAGGACTCGGACCGAACGTAAATCAGCTTCTCTATGTCCGCTTTTTGGTCTATATTCCGGTCCCCGAATCAGACAGCTACCAGAGCCTGGTGAGGGGAATGAGTGGATTCTGCCAACTCTTGCCCTACTCTCAGGCGACTATAAAGTCGGCCCGGAGGTTCTGACTTGTCGCTGATTGCGATCAGTTGGCCAACTGACCCAGAATAACTTCGCGCCGAGTGTAGTGACTATTCGGCCGAAGTCTAGGCGGTCCCCGAATGTTGTTAGGGGTCGGACGAGAGGGAGCCGTCGGACAAGAGGGCTCCGTCGGAGGAGAGGGCTCTGTCGGACGAGAGGGAGCCGTCGGACAAGAGGGCTCCGTCGGACGAGAGGGAGCCGTCGGACATGAGGGTGTCGTCAGGCGAAAGTGACCACTCAAAACTGCCATGTTGATGCATCAAGTATTTTACTAGATCCACCATTAGTATTTTAGCATCACCGTTGTCAGGATCACGAATTTTACCGTTTTAAAAAAGTTCCATGATATTTTTAGTAGTCCAAACAAATTACTGCATTATTTATTATGTTTGGATAATTCCATGCTGAACATTTATAGAAACGATGCAAAATTATAGTGATTCCA